GCAAACAAATATTACAAGAACAAGAGCTGTCACAGGAGACAGCGAAGCTCGACTAATAAAATACTGGACGCAGTAAGGAGGACAAAACTATGAAAGAAAAATCCATTATGTATAATTATGTATTAAGTTATAGAAAAAAAAAAACATTTGTTAACATTAATTCCAAGATCAAGGGGAATAATTCTAGAAATAGTCATCCTAGAGTTATGGACCTTGTCACACAACATTTGTGTAATGATAAGAAATATATATTTGAAGTTTGAAGTAGATACCTTAAAAAGTAAAGAAGTTATTATATTTCTTAAAGAAAATCCTAAGTTCAAAGACAGATAAATCTGTAAATATTGCTTCAAGAGTTATGAACATTGTCACATAAAATGTAATTGATGATAAGGAATAAGTATTTGAAGTTTGAGGTAGATACCTTTAAAAATAAAAAAGTTACAATAAAAAATAACATTTTTCTAGTAAAAAATCTAAGTTTATGGAGAGATAATTCTTGCAATATTGGTGCTAGAGTTATGAACCTTGTCACATAAGATGTGGATGGTGATAACGTAAATATATTTGAAGTATGAAGTTGATCCCTTTAGAAATAAAGAAGTAACAGTAAAAAATAATATTTTTATGGAAAATTCTAAGTTCAAAGGGAAATAAATCAAAAAAAAATATTGGTGCTAGAGTTATGAACCTTGTCACATAAGATGGGGATGATGATAACGTAAATATATTTGAAGTATGAGGTTGATCCCTTAAGAAATAAAGAAGAAACAGTAAGAAATAGTATTTTTTGAGGAAAATTCTAAGTTCAAGGGGAGATAAATCTGAAAATATTGGTGCTAGAGTTATGAACCTTGTCACATAAGATGGGGATGATGATAAGGTACATATATTTGAAGTATGAGGTTGATCCCTTAAGAAATAAAGAAGTAACAGTAAAAAATAGTATTTTTTAAGGAAAATTCTAAGTTCAAGGGGAGATAAATCTGAAAATATTGGTGCTAGAGTTATGAACCTTGTCACATAAGATGTGGTTGATGATAAGGAACATATATTTGAAGTTTGAAGTTGATACCTTAAGAAATGACAAAGTTATAGTGAAAAATATTTTACTGCACCAAAACTTTAATCTAAAATCTGGACGCGGACGCCGACGCCGGGGCGAGTAGGACAGCTCTCCATATACTTCGTATAGTCGAGCTAAAAATCAGTAAAAAATACTTAAAAACACTTAAAAAGCATGAAATTAAAAGAAAATGTATTTGTTTTACATGTACAATTGAAATATATTTCATTTGTGGACACCAACTATTATATTTCAACTTGTGGCTGAGGAAATATTGCATCTGCTGTTCACTCAGTGAAATATATTTCAATCTTACTTGCAAAACAAACAAATATCCTCTATGTAATAATCTAATTTGGTAAGAAATATGCAACTGGACATAACAACATGTGCATTTTAAAAAAAATCTCAACCCCTCTCTATGAATGCATATAAATGACACCTAAACAATAAAACTTATGGCTGCCATGTAAAACAGTAACAAATGTTTATATCTAAAACACAATTCCTGCATATACAATGGTAGGATACTACGTCATCGCGCACCTGCTGAATGCTCCCACTTGGACCATTTTTTCGTCGACTCAAAGGTAAAATACAATTTTATTATAAGAAAACGTAAGAGTATTAAAAAATCATGCAGCGCACCAAAGAATGGCTATAGTACTTGAGATAATTGTAAAAAAAGTTTATAGATTTATTGCCTGGTTTAGGCCTGAAAACGGGATAAGTGTTTTTCTCTGAATGCTCCCACTCGGACTTTTCCCGAAACATATATGAAATAAGGTTGAAAACCTTCTTGAAAATTATTTTTAACGTACCGGAACATAAACCGAGTCATGTTTACCCATTATTCTATATTAGTTTCAAATATTTCTATTCAAAAGTCAGTTTTTCTTAATTCTTTTTATAAAAATGGAAAATGCTCCCACTCGGACTCGATTTCAGAGATGCTCCCACTCGGACCTAAATATATACAAATTTTGAAAGCACATTGCTGTCTTAAGATATAATTTTTTTTTTTTCAAAATATCTTTATATTCACGTCCATATATTCAGTAAGAATTCAATGAAACAACATTTTTAAAATACGATACTAATATTTAAATTACTAAACAGTCTCGTAAATATGTCTTCTTAGAGGATTAGTATAGGGGGAAAAAGTTGTGTTGAAACAATTCCTCGTTTAAAAGAGTCGCTTAAATAAGAAACACATTGTTTATACATTCCTAAAAATGTAATAACGTTTTGTTTTGCAGAAAGTATTTGAATTTGTGACCAGTATGGGAAAAGGTATAAACCACATTGCGACGTAAGGAAGCACATGGCAGGACATCTTGGCACGGCAAAGCTGGAGCAAATATTTTAGATACCAACTGTGGATATATCTCATTGAGGAGGAATACTCTAGAAAACACAAGAATAATAGTTCTTTGAAGTAACTGTCTTTTGTTCAGTTTTTTGCGTTAATTTTTGGACAACGTGTCATAAAGGATCAATTCATCTGAAATTTCACTGGAGGATAAATTTCAATAAAGTAAAATACCGCAACAAGAATGACAACTCTCCAGTTTTGGAGTTATTGCTCTTTGTATTCACTATCATTAGTTTGCAAGGACCAAACCTCTAAAGCTATTTGAGATAGAAACTTAAAACTTTATATTGAACATGTTTAATAGAAGTGAATAGCAGAGCATAAGGACCAGAAGTGTTCACTTAATGCTTCTTTGTTGTTTTTCTTTGTTTTTTTTTTCATGGGAGGGTTATTTTTGTCATGATTTATTTTGTCTAGGCTATAAATTTTCATTAATTTTCACGAGTATCATTACATACATGTATATTTTAATAATTACATATAATGTGGACAAGCATTTGCAGTACATATTTTACATATTCATTTATGTTTGAAAATTGTTTAGTACCATAAATATTATTACATTTAATTTATGGACAATTTCAATTGGTAACAGCCTGAAATATAACTTACATGATCTTTAATTACCAAAATATGGTAAAGACTGTGATAAAGAAATAACTATGATCTTTGTTTTCTAATTTTTTTATTTAGGTAAAAATACGTACACATGATAACTTTCATACTTAAAATTGTCAAAGTTGTTAATAATTGTGACGCCGTAGTATGGCAGTACATTGACTTTTAACCAGCTCATGACAAAACTGATTTACATGTTGTTCTTTAATAAACTATTCAAATCAACCGATAGATATTGACTTCTTTATGTTCATAAACGTACCATTATGCTGTTTTAAAACCTAAATCACAAGTTTAACAAACATGCACACCATTGGGTTTTAAATTATTAACAATATATTAAAGTCAGCAATTACTGAATAAATGCTGGCCTCTAATATGTGCACGAGTCCAACAGATTCTTAATCCGGTATGGTACTAAACAATGTTTAATGACTTCTTTGTAAAACACCACACTTTTTTAACATCTATGTTTATTCTTGAGATCCAAACTGCCCATTTAAAGTCTTATAGTCATAGCTTGTTGTTGGCAATAATTTTGAATTATCCCTTCGGATGCAACACAAGCCAAGTGCACCTTTTTGTATAGTGACCCTGTCAGTTGAAACTTTGTCATGGCACCTTGTTCCTGACCAACGACGTCATTCTTCAGAATCAAAGAAGTGATCTCTGTAAAAAGAATGAAAAGTTAATGTTGCCAAACACAGTAGTTATTGACAAAATGGTGTTTAAAATGGTGAGAATAATCCATAATAGCTAAGACAGCAATGTGCTTTCAAAATGTATAAATTTGGTCCGAGTGGGAGCATCTCTGAAATCGAGTCCGAGTGGGAGCATTTTCCATTTTCTTAAAAAAAAACTTTAAAAGACTGACTTTTGAATAGAAATATTTGAAACTAATAAAGAATAATGGGTATACATGACTCGGTTTATGTTCCGATACGTTAAAAATAATTTTAAAGAAGGTTTTAAACCTTATTTCATATATGTTTCGGGAGAAGTCCGAGTGGGAGCATTCAGAGAAAAACACTTATCCCGTTTTCAGGCCTAAACCAGGCAATAAATCTATAAACTTTTTTTACAATTATCTCAAGTACTATAGCCATTCTTTGGTGCGCTACATGATTTTTTAATACTCTTACGTTTTCTTACAATAAAATTGTATTTTACCTTCGAATCGACGAAAAAATGGTCCAAGTGGGAGCATTCAGCAGGTGCGCGATGACGTAGTATCCTACCATTGATATAAATATATATTTATGTTGTCTAAAAATCATGAAACCTTCTCACAACTAAAATAAGTAAATAGAAATTCTCCATAAAGAAAAATCATTCCTTAATGTCAACAAATTAACAGTAGAACTTCCCTAGTTCTGATTCAACATTATAGACTTAATATGAAAACAATGTCACTTATCAAAAATATTTAAACTTCCATCATTTTAATGAGGACAGTGATTGCTTATAATGCTGGAAAAAGCTTGTGAGAAAAAGAAAATTTCACTTTCCCCCTTATTATAACTATGGAAACAAAAGCCTACATGCAAATAGACAAAAAAACCACAACCAAACTGATATTTCTATGATATACATGTAGCATCACAACACCTTAGCAACTAATTTTTGGTAAAACAAATCTTGAATTTTCTTGACTCAAATTGTTTAAAACAATAATTTTATAATTTTATCTATATGTATATACATAAGATTGTATTTTCACCATCTGTTATATATGTTTAATCAGAATGTACGCCTTAACAATGATTCATAAAAACACTGTGTGTGGTAAATCAACTATAAGATCATAATTGTATTGTATTGATTAAGAAATATACAAGCACAGTATCAGGTCATTAAACCTGAGCATAAAATTTATAACTTTATTAATCAAAAAGAAGCAATATTTTTTTAAACAATTTGAAAAAAAGTGTTTGTGGGGGGGGGGGGATCTGTATTTAAATGTTTAAATTTGTTGAGTTATTCTCAAACTTATTTCAAAATACCCTTTGGGCAAATAGAAATGGGGGAAAAAAAATGAAAAAAGAAGTAGGAAAGAAATATTACATTTTCATGTTCTTATAATATGAATTTTTTACTTTTCATCTGGTGTACAAATAAATGTTTCTTTTTATTTTGTGTAATATGTTACAGCTCATGTAAGTTTAATAGTCATAACCATTATAAAGGAGTAAGTGACAATAATTATACATTATATACCATAAATATCAAACCAGGCTATCAGGCCTTAGTGACTGTTTATATCTAATATATTACATAAATCAGTTGCCGTGAATAATGATTCAGTAATTCTGCAAAATTATTTAAATACCTAAAATTTTACAATGAACTGTTCTGAGTTTAAAACAGGCCAAGTCCATTAAACTAAATCCAAAAGAAAAAGGTTGCAAAATATTTCTAGTAACAAAAGCACATATTGTAGAAAAAATGAGCAAGTAAAATCTATTTCCATATACATATGAACAGTGCATATGTTCAGCACATTGAAAAATTATGAATCACAAATTGTCTATGTCAAACAGTACCTCTATTTCTTAAAGGTATATCACAACTGTGTGACCTCTATTTCTTTCCTACATTTACATTTTGATCTGTTGTGTTGACAAGTACACTGTAACCTCTAAATCTTTGTTGATAACACATTTCTACCTCTATTTCTATGATATTACCTGTATGATAACTATTTATTTACTGATTACACATTTTGACCTCTATATATTTGATGCTTACAAATTTGAACCTCTATATCTTTGATGCTAACAAATTTGAACCTCTATATCTTTGATGCTTACAAATTTGAACCTCTATATCTTTGATGCTTACAAATTTGAACCTCTTTATCTATGATGCTGATGAAGTGTGACACCTTAAGCACTCCGCAAGGCTACCAGAACTTGCTTTCAGCAGAAATTTCATCTTATAGAAGTCTTTAATGTTACACCTGGCCCCATGCTGAATTCGTCCAGCAAAGTCATGAATCAACATCGCTCTTTCTTTCTCAAGCCACATGGACAATTTGGGTTCAAGATTACTTTGACGATCATCTTGAAATTCCGAATCCCCTTCCCCTGGTCCCCATAGAAGAAACTCAGTATAGCTTCTAACAATTGGTAGACACTCAGTAACACCAGATTCCACTAACTCAATCACCCTTTGTACTCCAGAGTAAATGAAAAATGCTGAGTCATCAAGAACTGCATTAGCTTCACATTTAGCGCACATGTCAAGTAAAAACTTTTCTAAGAATAAACAAACCCGATCAATACGTTGGTCTTCCGGTGCCCTAACCTGCGGCAGAAAGGAAACCGTTTCACCGAGACAGTATGGGTTGGAGATTAAATACAAATCATGGAAGTCTGCCTCTGACAGTGGATGTCCTTGTTCCAAACAATGAGATATTGCACTTAAAAGTTGTAATACGAAAAATAAAACTTTTCGCAGAAAGTCTCTTTGGTTTTCACACACTGTTTCTAAAGCATTCATATGGCTACTTAAGCTCTCCGTTATGTCAAACAGACCGACCACAATAAAGCATTTGGCCATATTTGCATTAGCTTGGCTAACTGTGGTTTCAAGTATCTGACTAGTTTTAATAAATGCGTCCGTAAGGTAAGTGAATGGAACTGAGTCTGTGAATATGCACGTCGGTTTCAATAAACTCGGATGATTGGCAGCTGTGATTTCTGGTCTGGAATGCAATAACTGAAATAAAAAAAAAAATATTTTTTTTTAGTCAATGCTGTTTTTCATTGTTTCCACCTTAGTCATATCAGTCTTTTGTCAGTGGATTGACAATGTCCCTACCAAGTTTAACTAATCTAGTCTTTTTTTCTTGAGTAATTGATTGGATTAGGTCATTTACATTCAGGTTCACTGTGACCTTCACCTAATGACCTCAAAATCAATAGTGGTCACCTACTGGCCATCAAGCAATATCTCTACCAAGTTTCACAAATGTCCTCTACAAGGTTATTATTTATCAGACAAGGTCATTTACTCAGTGTCACTGTGACCTAGAAATTTGACCCTATTTGACCTACTTTACTTCAAAATCAACAGGGGACATTTACTGTCCATAGGCAATGTTACTTTCATGTTACTTAAGTCATTTAACTGACTGGACAAGTATGACAAGATATAATTATGGATGCACTTTATATTGTATGCTCCCCACTTTAAGGTGGGAACATATAAAAAAAGCCTGTGATATTCTTGCTCCCAACATTTAACCACTTTTAAAAGGAGGTTAACCTTTTAACACCTAGCACGGACTCAGTTCAGTTTTTAATTTCCCACACTAAAAGCAGTGAATTTCAAACCACCAGAAAATCTTTAATATATATGACTAAGCAAAACCACTTTTGTACAAAAAAATCTTTGTTTTTTAATTGCTCAGTACATTAATTAAGGATTACTGTGTTAATAATTAATAATATTAGAGATCACAGTTCATAATGAGTGCAACATATAATTATGAAACTGAGAAAATGCCACTATTTAATTTCTAACTATTTCTAATGATATGTAGAATAAATGAGTATTTACCATAACTTGACATGGTGACATTGTGGTCCTCATTTTAGCATTGTAAACAACACATTTCTCTGATGTATGCAGTGGTTTGCCATAAATGTCGAAATTTTGCCACTTCAATGGTCCAACTGACCCCAACTGCAAACTTTCCTTTGTGAAACATTTTTCATGTTGAGTATAGATATCACGGAGAGTGTTCAAATTCATAGCTGTCAATTTACTCAACATTTCACGTAATTGTTCTTCATTAAGGAAGACGGCTACACTTGGTCTGTTCATCGCAACGTATTGTTCAAATCCTGACCCCACATGACGAGGTCGTTTCCTAGGAAACGGCCGAGGGCGAGAAAGACTGTTGTTAGCAGAAGACATTTCTGAATCAGATGAAAATGACTCTTTATTTCTTAAATTTGAAGCTAAAATCACATTTTGTTCGTTATTTTGTGGAGGGTCGTGAACCCCATAAAAATCCTCTTCAATTGTTTCAAAATGCTCATCATCATCATCGCCGTCTGCATCAAAATTGGTTCCTAGTTTACCGTAACCATTTGTTATTTCCTCGTAAATCGGCTGGGAAGCCAACAGCTCCCTTCTCTCGGGACTTATGTCCAAATCTTCCAGACCATGTTGATTGATATCAACTGTTTGAAAGTTATCTGCGGATTTACTCATGTCAGCCATGTTGTTTCCCATAGCTCCCATGCTGGTTGTCATGGAGCCCATACTTACAGTTGATTCGCCCATACTTGCAAACATTGGATCAGAACCAGCACTGTTTGACTTAATTGGTTCCAAATAACCCTGAAAAATACATAAAAGTTTACAATAAAAGATCACATTGAATGAAAAATATATGTTTTTGTTTTTTTTTTCTTTAGTTTTATTTCTTATTTCTTTTTCCATGACTTCTTTTGGAACTAAATGAAATGTCTGTAATCCTTATTATTTTTTTTTAAGTTTGCCTACAAATAACTGTGCAAGTGTCTTAAATTAATCTTTACAATATTTGTGAATCTATCAATACATCAAATTTATTAACATATGAAATATCTGAAATTTAAGTTCTAAATAATTTTAAATACAATATTGCACTTGAAAAAAATAATTCAAACTCTTGGTTGCAATGAGATTTAAACCAGCTCAGAAATAATGCTATGGATCTGATGGTGACTGATAGGTCATCTTCTTGTGACCTTTCTATCAGCCAATCAGTGGCCAATTTCATGAATTTGAAAACAGATCTGAGTTTCTATTATTAACTACTGGGAAACTAGAAACGTACATGTATGTGATATCCATGATTACTAAATACAATGGGTGAACAACAATGGTAACGCCCAAGCCTTTAGATAATTAACCATGAATAGCTACTATGCTAAGATACCAAAATTGTATCTAATATTCTGCAGGAAAAAAAACAACAGAAATATTTTTTCGGTGAAGTTCCATCCTCCAATAAATCTAAACCTGGAATTGTGACACTACTGCTAACATTAAAACCAGAAAAAGTTGACATGTTTTGTAATGCTGACTTGTTGCCAGGGTTTTCGGTGTTTACTTTATTTTCTGTGTTCTCTGATTGGCCGGTCTTTTTTCTTAGGCAAATTTTATGACTTTTCTAATTTCATGGATAATGACGTTTTGTTAAATGCTTCTGTGCCCAACCCTAGCCCTATTGAGCTAAGCAAGCAGACGTATATCTTCAAACAGATTTGAATGAAATGAATCCCTCTTTTGTCAAATAATATTTTTTTAGACAAATACTGTAAAAATAGAACGGCCATTTAAAATGTAATTCATACCTCACTTCCTGTCATTGACGGGGGTCTCAGACCAACAACATTATTCTCCACTACAGGATCATATAAATTCTTCTTATCACTAACAGGGGGTGTTGGAGCCTCGGATTTTATAAACTCGTACATGTTTTCAACAGATCCTCGTGGTGAAATATCTGATTTCTCGCCAGATGTTGACCCAGAGGATGTTGAGCCCCCTGAAAGTTGGTTATCAGCATAATTATATAAATGAATCAAATTTAAAATGTTATAATCAGATAATTATCATTAATATAAATGAGATGTCCAGCTGATCTGTGAACTCTGTCTACTATTACATATAAGTAAGATTACCTTTAGTGATCTATAGCATAATGTAAATGAGATCCCTTCAAGAAAATCAATTTTCAATACATCATTTACAATGACCATAGCAATTTAGTTTGTGAAGGTATATTTCTATATTTATTTTGAGTGCTAATTTCTAAATTTATTTTGATTTGAGTGTGTTTCAACTTAAAAGACTTTAGCAACTTTAATTACTCGTAGGTTTTGTGTCATATTGTGCCATGTTTTTTTTTTCTCGTCAAGAATCACTGATTTAACCACTCCAAGGAAGCATCTTTTGAAATAGTAAAATCAGAACCATGCCCTTATGTATGCTAACTGCATGCCAAAAAAAAAAAGAAAATACTATAGTTTATTTACAGAATTGGACGAGATTAAAACTAATTAATTTCTTGTTAATGAGACCAATATCTTGTGACTAAATCATTAAAAGCAAATTTTGAACCTGATATCAATTTTGTTAACAACCCCCTTTTACAAGAAAAAACAACCTCTAAGGATACCTGTATATAAAAAAAATCTTATTTTCATGATTAACTTACCTGATAAGAAAGGATTGTCGTCACCAAGGGAGATCGTGTTACGTCTGTTGACAACCTTGTTGGATGACATCTCTGTAATCAACTGTAGCAAACAGATCATGCAGGGTTAATCAATTAAAAACTGTGTCATTTTTATAATT